AAAATATAGAATAAAAATTTTTCATTTGAGGCTTTGTTTTCGAGAAAATCGACTTTGAATTTTCGCTCGGTACGCGTGCGGTACGTTATAACGGATTTCACTGTAGATCGTTGTCTCGATGGAAAAATTAAAAAAAAAAAAAAAATAAAATAAAAAAAATTTTTATTCTATATTTTCGACTTCTTTTTTCGCGTAGAATCACCCCCTTTCCGCTTGTACCACCAGTTACCAACCGCCCTGTATATTATATGGTTTCAATGATCCTAACTTCGGAATTCCAACCACATGGAGCTGCGATTCGTTACTCGTCGGAGATGTGGTTTGGTAATAATTAATCCCAGCTATATGGAAACTTTAACTTCGTTCGGTGGAAACTTTAATGCGATGTAGTTTCTTGGCTAGCTCTCTGTCAGTTGTTGCTGTACGACATCTGAACACGAATTAATCGTGTGGAATGACGGGATTCCGCGAAAGAGATAGCACATTCGAGATATCACAATATATTGAACCGAACGTTATTCGATAAAGCGATACTCTCGTCCAACTATTAGGAATTTTACTCGAACATATAGGCATTCTTGGTGAAAACGGATCGATGGATCGAAACTTCCTCGCCATGTTCTTTGAACGAGGGTAGGATTGGTAGTTAGGAAGCTGGGGAAACACCGACTCTAGAAATAAATCAAAAGAATGGAAGAATTGTGGGTTCCGTTTGACATTTTCAGGAATAGTTGATTAGAAATGAGAGAAATCCGAGGGGAAGGAAAGGATCAACGATTAATCGACTGTAGGAGAGATGGTTAGATTTGGTATACGAATGGTAAAGATTTGAAGCCGATATTCGGCGTGGTTTCTTTGTCACGCGATGTTTTATGATCCGATTCGTGTGTCTTATATCTTTATGATCTTATATGAGAAATTGTAAAAAGTGTGTGGATGTGATTGTATATCTATTAAACACTGTTCAGTAATAACGTAACTGTTTGTTTAAAGTAACAACAAATTCAATGAAATAAAACGAAGAGAGAGTAAAGTAGAAAGGAGGTAGAGTAAAGTAGAATAAGACAGTCTAGAGAAACAAAGGGTAGTCAAGTAAAATAAGACAATCTAGTTGCCCAGTGCCTTAGATAGCAAAATAATGAAAGTCAAGTCAGAAAATGTATTCTTTACAAAAGGGGCTTGAAAGTGTGTTGCCAATTAATATCGTAATCGTTTGTTCAACAACGACAAATTGAATGAAATAAGGAAGAAGAAAGGAAAGAAGTGCACGATAGAATAAGACAATCTAGTGTCTTAGTCAGACATCACGATAATGGAAACCAAATCTTGGAATGTATTTCTATAGCCTGTGAGTCAATTAACGAGAGAATCACTCTGCAAATGTGATAAATGCACATTTCGCCCTAATAGCCTTCGATAGGGAAGATGCGGTGTAGGCTTTCATTTGTGTAATCCAACCTTCACGTGTTTATTAACTATGGTATTAGATAACGACTACCGGCGGAACCGAGGATGCTTTAAAGTCACGGAACAGAGGAGTTTGCGCTTAACGAACACTTTGCAACGAGCCAATGATGACCGACACGAGACGTTTCATTAAAGTTGAAAAGTCGCGCCGTGCAACGTGTTACTCATCGGGCCTTGGCATCGACGATTTCGTGTAAATTTCACGCAAACGAGCACTTTAATTAACGAACGAGTGCCGAAAGTACTTTCAAGGATTCTCGTCGGGCGATGTCCAACGCATACCAATGTATTTGGATTAGTCAAGCCTTTCACCTTCGGGTTCAATTCAAGAATGCTTTTCTTTAATTAACTTCACCCCTGGTATTCTACGTTCCGTTTCATGTTAATGCTTTCTATGACTTGAAATAAATTTGTTTTAGAAATTCTCGTCAAAGGAATCAACATCTCATAATATACTTAAGACGAAAGTACGATACAATATTAATGAGATACCAGATTACTTTGATTAAGTAACTTTCGCCACTTTTTCAAACTTTGAGATTTTTTCTTAAATGTATAACACCGTCAATAGTACGAGTAATGCATAATTTATGACAAGTCGTGGAGAGGATAGATAAAGTAATTTACTTACCGGAAAACAGCTCAAGAAATTCTTCAACCCCGTAAGTTCCAGTGAATCTGTAGCTTGGATCGTTCAGTGCATCGTCACTATGAACTTTAATGCGTTTTATCATGAAGCTAATATTGTCTGGCTGGCCATCCTGATTGAAATCTGTAAAATAGCGAAGAATACGTTCGAAATGGAAAAGGAGAAATGAAAAATTCAAATTGCAACATTGAACGGATTAAAGTCCGTTTGCGGAATAGACATTGTGGTACTGTGAAATTCATAGGAGTCGAGAGGAACTACTCATCGAGGTAACCGATAGCTGATAAGGAAAATCACCGGGGCTCCAGACGAGTAATTTTCGGGTTTCCCCCAGTGATCAATGTATTCCGAAACGGTTGAACCGTCGCGTGGTGGAAAGCATTTAATCAAACACCTCCTCCGCGGGAATACCAATCGAAACTGGAAAAACGATTCCGTGACACGCGATCGCGATTCCTTCCCGCCGCTGAATTCTCATGATTTTTCAAGTGTAAAACGAACCAACGGCCGTTCATGCATATCTCTTTGATTGATCTCATTATTACGAATTAATTTTGACAGCGCGTCGCAAAAAAAGTTACGAGTCAAGCGTAATTTTATTCTGCGGAAAATCCGTCTTTCACTCAAGCTTTCCGATCTTTCAACTTTTAATCGACCATGTCGAATTATAAAATAATGTTCAGTATCGCGCGTATAAATACGACATTTAAATGTGTCCTTTATTTTTAGTGATATTAGAGGATATTTAAGCATTCAAATTGGTGATTAATATTAATGGTAAGATGATTGAGGTGATAATTAATTCGATTGAATTCAGTAACTTCTCTATTTTATTTATTAAGATCTCCATTAATGATTCCAAGGAGGAAGAAGAATGTTATGGACGAAAGAAATTTAGATCATTTTTTTCAATTTTTGAGCATTCGTAGCATTTCCATCTATATCTATGATATATACATTTTCGTGAAAATGAAGGATACTTAGGTATTCGATTTAGATTAAGACACCTTGTACGTTAAAGCAGTGAAACATAGAAGATAAGATAGTAAGATTTCCAATCTCATATAAACGATGCAATTCCATGGTAATGTCTCCAGATGTTTGTGCGTGTGCATACGCAAGCAACCTATTCCAACGTCAATGCCGAGCATCGTTACATCTATATCTGACATGTAATATATATGTGCATTTGGTAATTAACGTAAAATCCATTGTATTCAAGTTTGATGTTGCATTAATCAGGTCCGCTTCTGTGTACATCGTGGTAGCGCATGTGCTGGTGAAAACATGGATATCGGGTTCAATTTCAAGCAAAGGCTTCTTAAATCTCTAAATAATGCAAATGCAATGCTCTGAAACAGCCAAGTATGAGTGAACACGAGAAAATTGAAGATGAAGAGGCTGAAACATTTATTGGATGCTATATTTGCATGCGTTTGCTTTCCGATAAAGTTATCTAACGATTAAATGCAAGTTCCATGTTTCAAATACAGTCACACGAAAATTTAAGGAACTAAAGATTACTATACGAAATACCTCTCAAAAGCCAAACCGACCAACTCGACCTTTTTTAAATTTCTTAGTTTCGGTACGTAAATAAACGATTAAAATTCAATCCTTAAGAAACAAACAGCAAGATAAAATTTAAGGTAGATTTAAAAACATTGTTTGTAATATCATCAATTTTCTATATTTTTCAATCTATGTGTTTCGACCACTCGCAGAGAGACGCGATCGCGAGGAAGCACGCCAACGGGAGTCGTAAATTCCCGTTACGATTAGATAATCGACGCCACGAAATGATCGATCCCCTATTTCGATTAGGATAATAGAGGTGGTTAATTGAATATGACACTGATGCAACAAGGTGTGAATGACAGTTTATTCCAACACTTTGTGAAGCAAATAGTTACGCTGGTGCGTATGTATAAGGTAAATGAGTGACTGATCTTCGGGTGTAGACCCGGTCGAAGGATGTTGTATGTTTGAAGGTTGAAGAATCAGTGATGTTCGGTGACGATGCTGCAGCGGAGGAAAGCTGAGGGTGGGTGTGTCTAGCGCACGGGACCATCGGATTTGTTGATGACGATTTTGGCTAAGAGAGTGAGGGAAATAGGATTAGTTGTTAATTATGTCCAAACGAAGGTTGGTGGGCTAGGAAGGGTCTTAGCTGCCTTCGATAGAAAGTTGCTATTAGGAAGCATCGTACATGGAAAAGCCCAACTTTCCCTTGCCCAGCCGTGGTAGACAATAGTCCTTAGAAAGTGTTTTAGAAAAAGATATTTGTTCGGTATGAGCAAGCAAATTATTGGGATTTATGACGGGTACTTGAAGCTATTGAGGGTACGTCGTAAGGATGAGCGGACATTTGGGGTCTGTCTGACCCGCGGTGTATGGCCGGGTCCAGGTAGAGTGTTGCACGACGCAACATTATGGAAACAATATAACTAACGTTATTTAGTATTCGTTCGATCTAAACGCAAAAAGAAATCTTACATGAGGAAATCAAACTCGTCTTATCGTTATCAATATGTATTGAAAAAGTAATCGGACAAATAAAATCGTTTAAAAGGAGTATCGCAAAGAATATCGCGTGAAATTAATAAGTAACATTAATTTCAAGATAAAGGAAAAAATGAATAGTTACAACAAGACTTTGAAATACTTATTTCAGAAGACTATCCGTTGGCTAAAGATCAACCTCAAACGAATTAATGCTTTAAAATTATTCCTGATCGAATCTACGAGGTAGATTCTAGAGAACTTGCAGAATAAAATCAAGTAGAACGAGTCAATGCATAATCAGACCAACCAGGCTCTGCTACCGTATAGTTGTATAAAATAGGTGTTTTTTTTCCAGAGTTACTTCTATCGCGACAAGTCACGAGAAATTTGTTCTAAGCCTATGTTCTACGCATAAAATTAAAAGAACAAAAATATAGAAAGACGGAAACAGACGGTGCTTATTATTGAATAGCTAAAAGGCGATCGTCACGTGAGACTCGTGTTACAAAGTTGCTGGTTCGCGTTCCGATGTCGTAAAAAATTACTTCGCAAACAAATAAAGGGGTAACGCGTCGCGTGACAGCTGTCTCGGATATGCCGCTCGGAAATAAAGTTTTTTTTACGTGAGTGCGCCAGATAAGGATCGTAAACGCGGCTGGTCGTCAGGGTTCTCAAGCGTCCCAGGTGTAATGACTAACATTCGAACTTCCACTTTTGACCGATATCACCGTCGCGATATCCCGTTATCGCGTTAGCTTTATTTTCTACCGTAATAATATCCACCGAGCTTCCGTAATATTATATAATAGCCGCGTCCACGGCGTTTACACGGTGAGTTCATTGCGCCGTAATAAAGTCGACCGGTTAAACATAAATTTCAAAGATTGCGACGTTAAATTTAAATCCTAAAAATCGCAATGATAGTACGGAAACATTAATTCGTTTTTAAATAGCGCGGCAAAGTTAATTGGTTGGCTTTCAGGTTTGAAAGATTTGACATAAACACGAAACAAATAATTCACCGTTAAATTGACGCGATGGAGTTAAGTGGTTAAATCGAAATTTTGAAAGATCGTGACGTTAGCAGGGAGATAATAGTCGGTTCGTTAGGTTGCGCGGTCGTGCAAAATCGACGGAGAAACACGGAATCGTAATGCAAGAGGGACAGGGGCAATCCTTAATCGGTGCAATTCCGGATCTCTCGTCGGACAAGAGCGTTTAGCTAGGCGGCCACCGAGTTGTACATATCGCGATGGGAAGAGAGTTAATGCCGTCTAATCCGGAGACAAAGGGAGGCACGTTCGGGCTGGCATTTCCGAGGGGTGGTCGATCGGTCATCCGAAATGTTCGCGTGTAGAGATGGCCGATAATCGCGCGACCATCGTTCCGGAAGATCGATATCCTAACTCGCAGTATATATTCGGTCAAGTTAGATAGAACGAGACGGAACGAACAAATAGGAAAGAGAAAGGGTTGGAAGAAGAGGGAAAGGAGACGAAGACGGAAACGTCAGCGGAAGACTAGCTTTATCCGCGAATCGTACGACGGAAGAGATAGGGAAGTCTAAGTAATACACTAGACCAGTCCGCGTGTAGGCGCGGTCACGCTACGTTAAACACGGCTCAGTCACGAGACACAAATATTTGCTTGTTGTTACGGCAGGTGGTGCGACGTTTAAAGCCCTTCTACCAGTACGAGCTTGCCCGTGCTTCGCCTGTGCGTCCGCTCTTACTTAATATTCGCAAGCCGCACTGGCCAAATGAGATTTTCAGGAACGCTTTCCTCTGATTTGCGAAGCTTTGTACGCCTGTACTGAACGTCACTATCGATGAACTTGATTGTTTCTCAGCTGTACTCGAAGTAGATGAAATAATTCCATTAAACGGCGGATTATATGTATAATTTGCGTGGATATTTTCGGCTTCAAAGAACAGATTTCTAGAGAGAAGTAGGGCCGAAATAATAATCAAGAAATTGCTGAAATTGAATAGCTCGAATGGTGGACTAGATACAGTAAAATAGGGCTATTTGCATCATTTAATCTTGGCGTTTTAAAATTCAATATATTGAGAATATTAATATTGGACGAACTTCTTTCCTTTTGACGAGTTATATCATCGTAGGAAGGTACGGCCATCAAGTTATGAAATGTAAATCGTTTAAAAATTGTTTATAATCGAATCTGACGAATTACGAGACAAATTACTTGGCTTAAGTCAAATAACGCTATTTTACCCTAATGTACTTCTTCTTTTTGGGGAAAAGTTTTTTGATCAAAGGAAAGAAGGGGGTAGTTTATCTTTATTCGAAAGAGTAGAACGAAAGCAATTTCAGGGAGGCAGTATGCGATTCTTTTCCAGATTCTGCTCCCGTCTTATTCCTTGATAACCATCGTTTAAAGTTTACGCATTAGGTGTGTGTAGCGGCGCAATAAAGTTCCACGGAATCAATCGGTCAACGTCAGACACAGAAACTGACATTAATCGGTCGCAGCGCAGAAAGGAACCGCAGTAAGGCTAAGGAACATTCATTTCCTCCGATCGCCGTTGGCAGAAAGTTGGTTTAACTGGAAGGTCCGGGAAAGTTTTAATTGGTTTGCGAAGTTATTACAGCGGAATGAGACAGAAGACGCGCACTTGTTAGTTCGGGAGGAAACGTTGCCGATTGCTACACCGGAAAGACGAAAGAATTTTCATTGCTGTCCTGATACTTCTCTTCCGGCGACCAATCTTATAGGACATTTCGACGAATTATGTACCGATCTCGGACGAAAAGTTTGTTGGAATTTGATGGAACAACAGACGCTAATCAGATTTGTAAGGATAATAGAGCGGATGGCTATTACGAGAGGTTAAACTGTTATTTTATTGCTAGGTAGAAAGAGATGAGTTTGCTCACACTCGGTGTTCCGTTCACTTACATTCGCTGGCTAAGACTCTTTTGTCTTTACGCAGGCACATGCTACAAACATACACACACCCTCATCCACATTCTTTTTGGCTTAAGCCTACGTCCCTCACAAGAACAGCACGTAGCTATCAGCCAGTAATCGCCTACTTACATTAAAACGAAACAGAAAACTATCGGCAATCGTTTCTCATCACCGATAGTTCTGTTCCCTTAAACTATCTACAATGTATCACCTATCCAAACTTATACTCTAACATTACAGTCTATCGTAATCTATTAATAATTTTTATGTACCTGTATATCTATAAATTGAGTTGACACGCTGTACATGCCGAGTCATCACCTCGATACTGGCCTCTTCAGATTTATAATGATTGAAGAACGTGTGATCCGCTTGCAGGTACAACATACAAGTGGTTTTCTTCGGATCCACGGACGTCCTTTTGCGGAGCACTCGAGAATATCGTTCCCTGTACAATCTGATTGCAAAGAAATGACGTCTGTTTTCACTAAATACAATTAGCCTGACAAAGAAGCATTATCGCCTTTAATTTAATAATACATTTCCGTTTATGCGCCTTCAAAAGAATTTTGATTAATGTCCGTATATTTCCAAAATTCGAAATTTCTTTCATTTCAAACATATTTCCTGTGTTATACCCCCCTAATTACACGGAACTTCGTAGAAATAAAATTGTTTAATTTCTAATCCCTGAAGCTTGAACAACAAGATAACTGAGTTATCGACTTCAACGGTGAACAGAAAAAATTTCTAGATTCTACGTTTACTACGTCCGAACTTGGTTCGGAGGCTGCAAAAAAGAGCAGGATTTTCGATGTCGCGATAGTCGATTTAACCGATACGCGATCCGCACTTGAACAACAAATCAAATCTCTCCACCAGAAAAAGAATCCCCGATTGCGGGAAACGTCCGATAAGGATAACTCGGTCGCGGGCAACGTTAAATTGGATTGTTCGATAATGGTGTTTGCTCTCGATTTTTGACGTTTTCATCGCTATTCGCTGCCGGATAGTCTGGCTTTTCTCTGCCCGGAAATGGGTGTGCTCTTTAAATGGAAGCGCAAGCATAGCACGGCAAACAGTCCGGAGGAAGAATCGACGGGACGATAAGTAACCGTTGTGCTTTTCTTCCCCAGCAACGGGCAACTTTCTTCCTTTGACCTGGCTTTCCCAGCATCTGCTAGAATATTTCATCGACGTGTTCGTAGAGACGGGCTAAGTGGAAGCAGAGTGGAAAACGTTGAACACAACCGGGAAGGAAGAAAAGAGTCGAACAGGGTTAGGGAAGAGGGTTGGGGGGATGAGACCGGTGATCGAGAACGAACGACCGTGTAAAACTTTTACAGGCTGTATAACTTTTTATTTTTTCCAACTTCCAGTCGCTACCGTAAAAGGGGAAACGGGGGATTTCAATTAGTTGCACGGAAGACACTTGGCCTCTTTTCGATGCAACTTGCAGCGGAGACATGAGTGAAACGAGGCGGTTCATGGTCAGACAGCTAAAACGAGTTAACCTGTTAACTGGGTCGTTCTTTCTATAACCACGGAATTAAAAATTGACGAAAATAAAGTAATTTTTAGTCTAGGTATTTCTTCTATATGTAAATATGTTATAACGAATTTTTAACAATTATGGAATGATTTATGAAAAATAGAGGTTTTTAAATAAAAAAAATTATATTGGGATATATGTATACTGGAATGTACAGCGAGACTTTATTTAACGAAACATTTTAATTTCTGTCTGATTAAATTGTCTGAATCTATTTGTCAGAATGAGAATTATTACATGAAAAAAGTTATAGATGGTAGAAAAATGAATGAATAATTCTGTAACATATAACTGTTTTGTTATCCAATAAATTCTCCTATATATACAAGAGTTTAGTAATTCGAGTGACGAATTACCCACTCATGCCCGATAAACAGACTACCCAAGTAGTATTAGCTCGGCGCGATCAGACAGACGATATTCACTTTCAGCCGACTCAAAGGCTTACCGTAGATGTGTAGGCAAACCATTTTTAAATTAAAGGAAACTTCAGCATCCTCTTGGCAGGATGTGCAAATCTTTTGTAAAGTTTTTATTAAAAAGGAAGATTAAATTGAAAAGCTTACCTATCGAGTAACTCTAAATTGTGCGAGCTCGCCGTGGGGTCTTTCTTCCTAACGTCTTTCGGATAGAAGCCCGGTTTGGCGCGGGAGTTCCCCTCGTTCAGGTGTTGATAAAGCGGCCGCATTGTGTCCCCGAGATATCCACTCCACGTCCTGTTCGTCCTGCGAACGATTTTTCGTCGGTAAGCGTTTGGAAAACTACAGCGCGCCAGTGAATCCCTCATGCTGAACTGATCAACTCCGGCCGCCCGGGATAAACGAGAGAAATCGTCGGGGTGCGGCAAGGAGATAAGAGTGACATATGTTGGGTAATACGTAACAGGCTTGAAGCCAATTTACTTCGAGGATCGTTGCCATCGGGCCTCCTGTCGAATCTCTACGCGTTCGTATCAAGATGACCAAGGCCACATCTTTGAATTACAGCATTTCACGAAAGTGTTCAAATACTTGTACAAATCTTTTCTGAGTAATATTGTATAACACTCATATTATATAATAATATGAGTATATTATGTACGTTATACGAAACATTTGAAAATTATATTGCTACTGTAAAGAGATTCGATTATCATGATTACATTGGTCAAGTTTGAAGTAAATCTGAAAATGTACATAGATGTTATAAGATACTTAGTGCAAGCATCTCGCTGAAACCATAAAAGTATTTAAGCAACCAATTATTCATTATGCGATTCATGCTGTATATTAATTTTTTGATTAAATATATGTTCGTATACTGTACACACTGTATATTAAAACTCGCTAAATTTTCTCATTTTTATTCCCTCTTTTTTTTTTATTCTTTTCTTTATAAGATTCAGTACGTTCCATTTTTACGAGTCTTTTATATACCAACGCAGTTGCCGCGTTTTATGCGTTTTTTTCACTGTATCCGTTTAATTCCTTGCGTGCGCGTGACGTGATTTCGAAAATTCACCAGTGAAGTCATAGACGAAACGAGCGCTTAAAGTGTTTAGAGACTGCGCCACGCTGTTCCAACGACCTCGATATATAGAAGAAACGATAGGTTGTTGCGCGTAGATAGAAAGATTGCCTCGAATTCTTTCTATGCCATCTGACCGGAATATCCGATGAGATTCGCCATTACTCCCGCAAAACTCATTTCACTGATAAGCTTTGAAATGAAACGAGGTAAGAATCTAATCTGTGTTAAATATATATTTATTTTCTAATCACGCAGTTGGATAATTATAAAACTTTGATTTATTTTATATGCGTAGAGAAAAAATTATATGAGTAAAGAAAAAAGATGTTATTAATTGAGATTGGATTAATTAATAATTTGAATAAATAATAATTTGAAAAAAAAAATATAAAAATTCACTTTAATAAAATATAATTATCGAATTATGGATCAAAACTTTCGAAATTAAGAAAATTTACAGTGAAGATTTATGTGATTTAAGAACCACTACAATAGTCAGTTAGAACGTAGGTAATATCACGTAACTGAAACTAAAATTTCCATGTAATACAATTTATTCAATTATTAAGATAACTTAAAATCTGTTTCCTTCTCTCCAGCAATTCTTTCTGAGTTCCATGCCAGAGAACATTATAATTAATCAATGCTAGAGCTGCTTCCCTCCCTAATTCTCTGTTAAAATGCGTTCTCTCTGTAATCGTAAGTGCACTTTGACGCGCGTGTCTCAGGAAATGATCGGTTTCCCTTGCAGAGCCTTTGTGTCGCTTCCCTACTAATTTTGTTAACTTCGATTCATGGCACCGATGCTTTGAAACGTTAGTTATCGCGATCTCTAATGTAAAACTGGAATGCTTGATCTCTCATACAGTTAACCGCCATTACGGTGCCATCTGAAATTCTATTAAACCGGTCAGTAGATACTAAGCCGGTCGATATTAAGTTTGTACCTGGAATATTGAACGTGTTAGATCATAGGGGAAGATATTATACATCCAAATTGCACGCTAAGCTGTCTCAAATGCAAGACTAGGTTGGAAATTCAACTGTGAACGGCCAATTGAATTTCTTCTTATATTATTCAAAGGAACAAAGATGACAGCGGACAATGAATAACGAAGTATAATTTATGTTTTATTTAATTAAATTGTCTTCAGAGTCTTCATACGGGAAATTGTATTTTTCATGTCGTTGTACTATTACGTCGAAATAATTAGCTTAATGGCAAACACAAGAGTTTAAAATGTATTTACCTTAATTCATTTAACGTGTTCTCTCGCAAAAGCTCACTGGCGCATGGATACCCATTATTACGTGGGACATTCACGTCCACGGAACGATACGCGATCGTATGGTGATGCACAGCGTCTGTTGTATCTTTATCTTCGCCATCTTGCCGATGGCATACGAGGGGAGCATATCTGCTGGTTGGTTCGATATAGATTTCGTCGGATGCTGTAAAGATAGTTCCATCAAACAGTCCCTCTTCTGTTACGATTCCATGTACCGACGAGTTCTCATCGTCTGAAACAAAAAATAAAGAATTGATAGTTTATGTTGTTTAGTCAAAGTTGCGTAAATGCAACAGTATGAAGGACTTATATATGGTTTCATATATTATATGTGATATCGGAATAATAGACACGTTTCAGAAGCCAGGAACACAAATAAAAAATATGCAGAAGATTTTCTTTGACTTAACGAAAAATATTATATAATAGTTTATCACGTTACTATTAATATTCTAGTTTCTGTTAAATTCATAAAACTCTAGGTTTCAAGTAGGAGAAGAAATGAAACGACGAAGAAATTACCGAACATATCTTCGGAATTCTCTTTTATAACCACAATGTTGGAAAAATAAAATTCGATATGTAAATTGACTGAAAAGAGACATTGTTCCCTTTCAGTGCTTTTTATCAAAGTCTTTTTATGCAATATTTGAAATCTTCTTTAGAGTTGTTGATGTCAAAAAGAGAGACAAAGATCTAATTTTCCGATTGTGATATTCAGAGAGAACTGTAAGAATTCGATCAGCGTCGATGTCTAGCGTGAATGCACATCGGTATGCTTCCTGAGTCACTTTGACCATCTTTTTCCTGAACGTTGCTACTGTGCTCGTAAATCGTGAGATTTACGCGTGCAAGAACCGCGTACGGAAGAATCCGCGTTTATATCACGTTTGCCCGCTCGGACATGGCCCCGGCAAGTGCGAATTTATATACGTTTGATCCGTTGCATCATCATAGCATATCAGATCGATGATGCATCGACGGGTTTCGTATGTGTGATTCGATCGTTTTCTTTTTATACTCCTTTTTCGAAGGTTCCTCCTTATCTTACTGTTGAATAAAGTGATTCGATAAGAAAAATCCTTGGGTAATATACTAACCGTATGCCAATGTAGTAAAATGATTTAGAAAGTAATTATTATGAGAAACTATAATCATATCAACGACAAAGAATTACATATATTCCAATTAAGTCATAAAATTCAAAGTTATATTTGGCATCTTGGTAATCTCAACATTACTCGGAATGTTGTAAAGACAGATTGTTGAGTTCAAAGGGTATACATAATAATAAAGCAAATCGTAAGCCGAGATTAATCAGCATAAAAAATTCATATTAGTGGGAGAATTCATAATAGAGATCCACTCATTGCTACTGTAAATGCATAAATACGGGGCACCACATTGGTTTCCATACATTGTAATATGGCTTGTTCAATACTTAATTGCAGTTTAATATCGAGATTAAACGTCCACGGCGATGTATTGTATTATTCATTATTTGATATTTACTTAACATTTAGGGTGGTTATTAAACGATTCTACGTACATACACGTGACAAAATGTGTGCACAATACTCGTTTAAAATGAAAACAATTTTTCACGGAATATTTCGTAACATTTTTCTACGGATTATGAAATAACGTCCATAGCATTTTTATAACGCTACACTTTAATCTCATCCTCGGTAGAATTTGATTTTGAAATCTTACGTTTAATCCTGAATATGAATAGCTATTCCTATTTTATCCTCCTTCATTCTTTTTTTAAATAATTTTATTAAATTCGCTGTTACAATATTTTCCTATATTTTGTGTCCTCGTTTAACGTAGACGCTCGCCCAGATCCATTTATGTTCTATCTCTATTATCTATTTAAATCCGTGCTGCAAAGTTCAAACGTGTCAAAAATAGATTGTCGTGGATGAGAAGAGCTAGAGGCCTGGATGTCGATCAAAATATTCTGTCCGAATTTTTCACTGGACACAATTCGTAATATTTTTTCCCTGTACGTACCTATTGGAGCAGATAATTGAATTTTTAATACATCAACACCGAACATCTTCCAAATTACGAACAATTGATTAATTCGAGCGAAATGGAATTGAATTGTATCCTCTGATGTCCATTTCATCAACGAGTTTGTCATTCTTTTGAAATGGATCAGCTCGAGCGTCGATTACCCTTCGCTGATTGACTTTGGGTTAATTAACTATTATCACGTTACAACATAAATTTCGATCCTCGTGGTGACATTGTTTGCGATATTATTCGCGCAGTTATATTGTGTAATACGTTTAATAGAGGAGGTTATTGTAATTCTTGTTTATATAACAATGTGTAATCGGAGAAGCCCGAAATTATAATACAATCTATATATTAAATATGTATATATAGATAAATACAATCTATACAGGTATTTGTCATTTTGGTACGATCGTTTCATGGAACGATAACCACGGTTTACTTTTGAGAATTTCTAGTTGAGAATGCAACGTTCAATGCCCTGTTGTTTTTGCATACAAGGATGCGCACTGTAAGATTCCTTCGCATGTAGTTCTCTTCTATTCTGTCGAGAATCGTGTACATATAGAATGCAAGAAAAATGCAAAGCTAAAGGAAAGAACTGTTACTCGAAAGATAACGTTGCTCTTCAATATTTGGAGTTGTGTATTATTGGATAGCGTAGGAATTTTTAAAATGATATTTCTGGAACAGTGAAAACAAAACTATAATTGAATGATATACTAAAACAATGTTAAAATATAAGGGTATACGTATACTCTCTTGTAATATTTTACAATCTCTTCCATTTACTTCAAGTAAAATATATATATCTATATTGTCAGGACCTACAATGTTTGGAACATACAACCGTATATGAAAAATGGTTAGAAAGAATACTAAATATTTAGAAATGTTAGGTATAATAGGGGCGAAAGTTTTCACCAGCAAAGATTAGAATCGTCGTTAAGCATTTGACATCTCTTGTACGACGTATTGCTTTTCAATAATCAGTAATCAATTGTGAGAAATGGTTGGAGTGCATATATTTATACACGATTATAATAGAGAATCTGGAAGCTTTATAGGGCATTAGATATATAATCCTTTAACAAATAAATTAATTCTAATAAAATCTGATGTATTTTCCAATTAATCATAGGAAATCGTATTCCTGAATTTCTAACCCTTCTTCAAACTCTAATCTCAAGCATTGAATCCATTTACGCATCTCCATCAATATAAGCTCAATCACTTCTGAAAAACAATAGCCCAAAATTTTTCATTAGGTTTTCCGATGGAAAATGATTTAATTAATCGAGATCGAATAAAGAATGAACAATACGGACAAGTTTAATTATAGTCGAGTTATCTTTTCCAGCTTCATCGGAATTCTTTTAGCAAATATAAGCCATCCTCGTTGATCGATTAACTTGGAATTTTAAACTTCGCTAAGTTTAAGTATGATTGATATTATTTCAAGTATCGCCTTACTTGTTCTCCCTGTTTGCTCAAAATATAACGAACGTGGAGTACAGAACTCGTAGCGCTAAAAAGACAAAGCATCCTTTAAAGATTAGAACACGTAAAACGCGTTTTAAACGTCATCGAATACTGATCTGCCAAATTTCTGTCAATATATCATGCAGCTGATGTTTTATTGTTTTGGGCTGAAAATTCCATTGAGTACGTTTCTTCTAAAATGCTTTGCGTCATGGGAATATCCTTCGGAAACTGTATTTTCGAAGGCAAATATATCATCGCTATCTTCAAATTTCGCATAAATGCAGAAAAATTGCTGTCGATTCATCAGAAAGGAACGAAACGCGTTAAAACTGAGATGTGTTAACGACATGATATCTTTCGATAGTATTTTTCAAATACTAAGGCTAATAAAATTACTATTAAGCAAATGTATTTAGTCGAAGTACGATTATAATTGAAAGCATCTCATAGTACTTATATGCAATTTAAACTTACTCTGTCTAAGTTCGACCCTACTTAAAAGTGTTAGAAGTTCGAAACTTTCAATTAGATTTGAACCTGCTCGCACTATACTTTACTCCATCGCTAGTTCATGTAGCAGAATATCAGCTCGTGATATTTTATTCCGCATGCCGCCCCGCATAAGCGTAAAAGTTAATTAATCTTGTGCAGAAAAAGCTGAAGCGATGGAATGATTTGATTTTACTTCATACTCTGTCGCGTCAAAAGGGTCAGAGTTATTAAATATCTAACAATTTATAAATATTCCTCGTTGATGATTTCCATTTTCAGATTTTAATCAGATTCCGAAAATAGTGACGACGGCTTTAGCGGGAAAAGACAGTTTCCCACTGTTCTGTCCGCGATATTCGTGTCCGTTGGTTACGTTACAACGTGATGTGCGTTCTCTATGAATTTCCACGGTTCGCTCCTATTCATGTTTTCGCTCGAGGCTTCCTAAGCCGCCATATATTGTAAGTTACCTCTATTGTCCACCCCGTTTCAATACTATTGCCATTTCGAAGCGACTTTGGAAACCTTTTGTTCGAACGTATCGCACATTTGTTCCAGGTCCACGAGGCTGTACGGATTCCACGTGATCAGTTTCATCATCGGATCCAATCGCAGCGAATTATAAAACCCAGCGTGGATTCTATGATATATCTGAAATTTCTGGTATTTTTTCAATATTCCTTGCTCTTGCTATACTGTGTTACGTGATTTAATAGTGTCACTTAATTCAGAGGATCGCAACCAATACTTGGTAGATAATTTGAGTTCAACATATAACGAGCATCGTTTAATAGAATCAGAGACAGCGAATTTTGAATTATAATAATGCGAGAGGAATGATTATAAGAATCATATTTATCAATGTTAAAAGGACTAATCGATCCCATATAATTAAACCGATATAGAAATTCCCTCCCGGAGGCCAGTTTCCGCTGGAAACATCCAAATGTACAAAAGCATATAGACCTGTAGGATATTTGTAAATGAAAATTTCGAACACGTTGGTAGGATCAAAGAAATCTCCTAACGCAAAATCAATGCGTAACATCAATGTTACGTATTTGTATCTATCGTTACGTTCATAAGATTGACGCGAGAGGAGATCGTAAGAATCTACCCTTAATCAATTACAGGATGAACTTAAACGAACCTTTTCATTGAACTGCACGAACCATTGTCATATTTCTACCGAAATTCTATTTCAACAACGTTCAAAGGATTAATGGATTC